TTTTAGGAGCGCGTTGACAACAAGCTAGAATCAACAGCCTTTTATAAAATTAGGGATTGAAATTTTTCTATAGATCGGTGGTGGCTAACCTCTTTGGGCTCCTGTGCCAAAAATTGTGTGCACGCCAGCGTGCACTCGTGTGCCAGCACCCAGAATGCAATGCGCGTGCCCTGCTACATACTCACACAATACCCCATCCCTTACCTACAGTGCGCCTCACAGCTGATTTTTTCGGCTGGTTTGAGGCCTTTTTTGACCTCCCGGAGGCTTGGAAAAAGCCTCTGCAAGGCTTTTCAGGATGAATTATAGGCCCGTTTTGCCACTTCCGGTATTACAGGAAGTGACAAAACAGGCCTATAATTTGGCCGGAAAAGCCTTGCAGAGGCTTTTTCCAAGCCTCCGGGAGGCCGAAAAAGCCTCAAACCAGCCAAAAAAATCCAGCTGTGGTGCGCGCATGCGCGGTGAGATAAGTTTGCCTGCGGCTCATGCGCCAGGACAAATGGCTCCGCGTGCCACAGGTTCGCCATCACGGCTATAGATAAAGGAGCTGGTTTGAAACCCAAAGATTTGATTACAGCTACTCCTCCATTTACAACCTTTTCGTTTACTGGCCGTTTGAAATTGCAACAGCAACTTGAACGAAGCATGGTTCTCGCACTTACGACTGTTGCGACATCGGCTGACGCTCACATGATCCAAATTTGGGCGCTTGGCAACCGGCATGTTTATTTTACAACAGGATCCACGTGATTCTTGCAGAACTTCCCAGCTGGCCTCCGACGAGGAAAGTCAACGCAGGGAAGCTGGATTCGTTTTAATGACCGTGTGATTCCCTTAATAAGTGCCGTGATTTGCTTAACAACCGTTCCCCCCTCCCTCCCCCCAAAAAATCATAAAATTGGGCATAACTCAATCATCACCTGGCTTAGCAACAAATGTGTTGTGGTTATAAAGTGAGGATTTCATGTACAGAATGCAATGATCTCTATCCAGGTAGAATCTATCGGTGCTTTTTCAAGAGGCAACTGGACTTTCTGGTTTTTCTTTGAAGACGTTTCGCTTCACATCCAAGAAGCTTCTCCAGCTCTGACTGGATGGCGGGAAAGGGAAGGATTTATACCCCTTGCAGATAGCTGGTCGTTTGCGTCCTTTTAGAGCTGTGATGGCAAACCTATGGCACGTGTGCCACAGGTGGCACGCAGAGCCATTTGTGCCGGCATGCCAGCTGCAGGCAAACTTAACCTCACTGCGCATGCGCGCGCCTCACAGCTGATTTTCTGCTGGTTTGAGGCCTTTTTCGGCCTCCCAGAGGCTTGAGGAAGGCTTCTGCAGACTTTTCAGGCCGAAAACTAGGCCCATTTCGTCACTTTCTGTTTTTCTGGAAATACCGGAAGTGACTAAACGGGCCTAGTTTTCGGCCTGCAGAAGCCTTCCTCAAGCCTCTGGGAGGCAGAAAAAGCCCTCAAACCAGCCGAAAGTCAGCTGTGAGGCACAGTGCAGGTAAGGGGGTGGCAGGGGAGGTGGAGTTTGCACACGCATGCGTTGGGGTCAGCATTGTCTCCTGGGTGCTGGCATGCGAGTGTGCAAGCATGCGCACAATTTTTGGCACAGGAGCCCCAAAAGGTTAGCCACCACTGTTTTAGAAGGTTGTTGAGGCCGCTTGGAAGTTTTTTCTGTGTCCTCGGGGGTCACCTGAATGGTGCAAACGGTTTCAGTTATCTGCCATTTTTTTCCTCTGGAAATCCATTCCTCTTCCCACACCATTCAAAGAAGGTTCATCCCAAATTGTATGGCTAAAAGTCTGTAGAGATTCTCAGTCATTCAGGTCATGGTTGTCCGAAAGGTGATTTTTTTTTTTTTTCAAGAGGCAACTGGGCTTTCTGTTTTTTTCTTTAAAGACGTTTCCCTTCTCATCCAAGATGCTTCTTCCATTCTAACCGGATGGTGGGGACAGGGAAGGATTTATACTCCTTGCAGACAGCTGGTCATTTGCGCTCTTTTAGAGAGCCGTTGAGGCCACTTGGAGGTTTCTCTGTGGACCTCAGAGTCACCTTGAGTGGTGCAAAAGGATGAGAAGCCTTCTTGGAACTGGTGAAAGGACCGTGTTGTAAACAGGAGATACAATCCTATTTGTTGTAGACTGGTGATAATTCCCCTCCCGTTGAGAGCATGTTCAATCAATCAGTCAATCAGAATTGAGCTGGAAGGGACCTTGGAGGTCTTCTAGTCCAACCCCCTGCTCAAGCAAGAGACCCTAGACCATTTCAGATAGCTGGCTATCCAGACTTTTCTTAAAAACTTCCAGTGAAGCACCCACAACTTCTGGTGGCAAGCTGTTTGTTGAGGTAATTCCCTGTTAGGAGAATGAGCGCATGCAGGGAGACGTATCTGAGAGTAGTGTTTGAATAATACACACACAGCATACAGATACACTGTACAGTAAACGTTGGTTTTTACTCCCAGAAATGTTAAGCAAAGTCCAAACAAGCAATCCAAAGCCCTTCACAGGTAAATCAGTCAGTTTTTAGTCCAGGGATAATTCAATAACAAAGTCCAGTGTCAAAAAACAGTTCAGTATCAGACTTACATTAAATCCAGTCATATCAGTCAATTAGAAGAAATGGAGCAACAGCAATACTTTCCAACAGAAGGAAACAGAGATACTCACTCAGACAGATTCTCTTCTGAGACTAAGACTAAGACAATCCAAGTTTCTGGCTCCATCTTATGGCTGTTTGAGAAACCACACCCAATTGCATCCTCTTGCATTCTCTTAAAGATATAGTACTAAAATGTTTATCCTGGTTTATATATTTCTAACCCAAATAGCTGTTAGGTGACTCATACTCCTAATACCGTTCCACTGATGAATTCTTCTCACTGTTAGGAAATTCCTCCTTAATTCCAGGTTGCTTCTCACCTTGATTAGTTTCCACCCATTGTTTCTTATCTTGCCTTCAGGGGCAATACTGGAATCTTAATGGAGATAACCTCTTTCAAGGGCTCACCACCCATCTCCTGTTTACAACACAGTTCTTTCAGCGGTTCCAAGACGTTTCCACACCCGTTTGCACTACAGCTAGTCCTCGACTTACAACACTTCATTTCGTGACCCTTCGAAGTCACAACGGCACCGGGGGTGGGTGGGATATGACTTGAGACTGTTTTTCATGCTTACGATCTTTCTAAGCATCTCCACAGTCGTGTGATCAAAATTCAAATGTTTGGCCATTGACTCATACTTAAGATCATCGCCGGGATCCCCTTTTGCGACCTTTGGACGGGCAAAATCAGATTCACACCAAACAACTAATTGATAAAGTGACAAGACATCAGGTGCAGCGATTCGCTTAACAATGGTGGCCAGAAAGTTCGTAAAAATGGGGCCAAACTCACTTAACAAATGCCTCCCTTCACATCATAAATTTGGGGCTCGATCTTGGTTGTAAGTCGAGGACCCCCTGTATTGAAGGGACCCTGAGAGCACAAATAAACCTCCAGGTGTCCTCAGCAGCTCTCAGAGAGAATGCTAACAACCCGATGACTGGAAGGAATATCAATCCTTCCATCCTCTACCCTTCAGTCAGAACCGAAGAAGCTTCTGGGATGAGAAGCGAAATATCTTCAAAGAAAAAAAAACAGAAAGTCCTTTTATTAGGCTAATGTGAATTCCTCTCATTCACATCCAGCAAAGTCCCGGCAAACAGTCTTTCAAGGGTGATTTACAACCACAGAGCTTCTCAGGCTTGGAGAGCTGCCAGGCCGATAGCTTCCAAACGCCATGCTGTAGCAGAAATGACTTGGCAAGAAGTCAGGACCAGATCTTCACCCTAATTGTCTCCTACAAAACCCCACTCCCCTTTTTGCTCCTCTATTCCCTATGGGAGAGACCATTCACCATCCACCTGTGCCTTTACTCCCGAGTTGACCTTTGTTCCTTAGCCTGTTCCCTTCTCCTGGCAGCTCTGCACATGCGCCCACTGGGAACAGGCTCCAGCTGTTCTTCTTCCCCACTGATCACTGACTCCAAAGGCAGCTGGTAACTGTCAGACGGCCCCGGCCCCATGTCTTCCTCTGACGCCGAGCCTTCGTCAGAGACTTCTCCAGACTCCAGGACCGGCCCGAGTTCCTCCCCAACCTCCTCACTGTCCAAGTCTGCGTTAGTTCCTCTGGCCACAACACCGTCTCTTGAAAACAAAAGCAACTTTGGGGCCAATTACAACCCGGAGGAGTGAAAATCTCCCATCTAGCTACACAATCCTCCCAACTGATATTTGAGTTTATGTAAAGTAAAAGTTGCAATACACAGCGAGCTTGCAACCAGTTGTAGATCTCTACCTTAGCGTACTTCATCCCGGATGCGCTTTTTTTTTTTTCCTTTCAAGTTTTGGCTTGACTAATCCGGATCAGGCCCTTGGGCTGCAACGCAGAGCATGTATTTACTCTCACCCACGCTGATGTCTTAATGCTTTGTTTATTATTTTCCTTCGCTTTGTTTTTCAGATAAAGCTAGTATCGAACGGAGACTCTCAGCTCTGTGTTGCAACGCCGTCGCCGTCTATGAATAGACTTCCCCCTGTTCTACTCCCCGGAGGACCACTCAGCGTAGCCAAAATCTGGGCATTTCCCATCCCAAAGGAAAGCTGGCTTCTATCAAAGGAAGAAGAAGAAGAAGAAAAACAGTTTGTGAAACGGGAGGTGGAAAAAAATGCAAATAATGTCGGGGAGAAAAAAAAAATGTCCTTAGACAAACCATCTTTTGTTTCACAGCCAGGCGGGAAAGACTCTTGGTATAAATTTCCACCGCTATTTGGATCTTAGCAAGCAACGATTCGCCATCTTCGTAGATTACGAGAGCGCGGAGTGCCTCCTTCTCTGGAGAGATGACACGCACGCGCCCCAAATTTTGGTTCCCGCTTCGGGAAACGGACGGGATGTTTGCCTTGCGGAACAAAACCCGAACGAAGGCGGCGACGTCGTTCGCTCTGGACTTCCGTCCCGCGAAGCTTTTCAGCCGGGCGTTGGCGTGGCGAAGTCTCTTCCAACCATCAGGATAAATTTTGCAAAAAAAAATAAATTAACTCGAGAAGGCAAAACGACAGACCTTTTTAGCAGGTCGATCGTAGACGTACGAGCTTAATGTTCTTCCCGATCCCTCTCGCCCGGATACTTTATATTGCACTAATTTACTAAAACTGTGTATACAGAAAAGGCACAACTTATCCATTCTTCCTGGCCGGGCAGAGAAGGGGGAACGATAATTCATTATTGACTCTTGTTGGGGTGCAGGAGAGACACCCCCACCCCCCAAAAAAAATAATCATTGCAAAAAAAAAAATACCCCCTCGAACTTCAAACCTCTGCAGCTTCTTAGGAGACGTTTCAAAGTTGTGTCGATGTGTGTCGTCAGGTGAATTCTTTGGTTTTGACAGCCCTTTTTTTAATCTTAATACTTGAGTAATACTCTAGAGCGGCATTTTTCTCAACCTCAAACTTTTGAAGAGATGCGGATTTCCAACTCTCCAGAATTCCCCTATTTATCCGGCTGGGGAATTCTGGGAGCTGGAAGTCTACACACACACGTCTTGGCATTGGTCAGATTTGAGAGAGAGAAAAAAACTGACTTTCGGTAACATTCTGGCTTGGGTTTCCCGCCCTCTCCTATATCCTGGCTTGTTTGGTTGCTTAATTCTTCTGTTGCATGCCAAGTTGTGTCTCTCCCTGAGGAAAAAGAAAGAAAGAAAAAAGACACAACTGCCACCTGGATGGAACAGGGTGCTTCTGTAGCAGAGGCGTTTCTTAAATATATATATATATATATAGCATTAAGAATTAATTATAATCAGGTTTATCTGGAGCAGCTTTTGAGGGCGTCTGTCCTGTTGTCCGCCTCCACCCCCTCTGCTCGACTCAAAAAAAATGTTATTTTACAAACGGAATTTTTGTAGTTGGTCCTCTTTTAACTTTTAGAGGCTTTCTTACTGCCTATCACTTGAAAAAGAGGAGCCGGGGTGGGTGGGGGGAATAAGCTTGTTTATAATGGAATCATTTCAATCCCTTCTTTTTTTTTCTTTAAAAGAACAGTCAAAACCTCCTTGGATGGAAGTTGATTGGCATTTAAGAACCGTCGGATTTTATGGAGGGTGAAGAACATGAGTTTCGTGCAGTTTTTTTTTTTTTCCTTCTCTCCTTTTCCCCGTCTTTTAATTTTGTTTTCCTTTGACAAAAGTAATGTACTTTTTCCTTTTATTTATCAGTACAGACAATTTCGGAAGTTCATTTGAAAGTGTGCTCTCTCTCTCTCTCTCCTTCTTTTAATTTATACAACGTTTGTATTTTTAAATCTTTAATACGGTGTTTCTACGACTACCTCTCCTTTGTAACTGCATGCGTTTAATTCTCGACCCGTTAGTGTACTAACTGAAGAGGGGGGGAAAAAAATCAACCCTGTTGATAACTTTTATTATGGCCTGTATAAATGTATATTAAAGTTACAAAAAGAAAGCAAGTGAAACAATAATAAACTGATACTCAGATGTTCCTATATATACACATACTAGCTCGATACGCTAGCTGCGCTATGAGACTATGTGGCTGGGCTTAGTTTCTGGGGAGAAAAATAAGGGCGCGGGGAGTCTGCCTCTGTCTACCAGCATGTATCGGCATTCATCTGGCTGGCGTCCTGTCAGGGTGTGAGAGAGTTGAGGGCTGTTTGGAAACGGAAAGAGTATTTGCTGTGTGAGCAAATGACTCCCGGGAGTCCCCCACGTGGCCTGTTTTGGATGCAGGTAAGTGCAGGGCTCGTGTGGAGGCTCGGGGAGGGTGGAAAACGGGCCTCCCAGAAGTTCGGGAAGGCCAGAAATGGGCGTTTTCGCCCTCCTGGGGGCTCAAGGAAAGCCTGCGAGGCCGGGGAGGGCAAAAATGCACCCCCGCTGCCATGGTGCAGGAGGCCGTCTGGGAGCTTCACAGGGGTGGGATTCAAATTTTTTAACAACCGGTTCTGTGGGCGTGGCTTAGGTGGTGGGTGTGGCTTTTGGTGGTCATGTTATTGGCTGGGCATGGCCAACTCAACATCACTCACATTGAGGCACGCATCTCCTCGCCTGGCCTCTCATGACTGGGGATGCTGCAATAGTCGTAAGTGTGAAAATGGTCATAAGTCACTTTTTTCAGTGCCATTGTAACTTTGAATGGTCACTCCACACAAGCAAAGGAGGGAAAAAGAAACTCCAGAGAGGTTCCTGAGACAGGAAGTCTAGTCCTGCCAAGAATGTAATAAGGGTCAACATTGAGGCAGTTTCTGTAAGCAACACCAGAATGTTTCCTTCCTGCCTTTCTTACAGGATTAGCCCAGTAATTTCTTCTAACAACCAGTTCTCCGAACTACTTAGGATGTTAATCGGTTCTAGCAAATAGGAGCAAACTGGTAGAATCCCATCCCTGGTCTGAACCTTCGGGCCAAGAAGGATCTCTCCCACACTTAACCACGGCTTCCCATAGGAGGAGCCCTATTTAGGCCAGGTGGATAAAGAGATTACCTTGACCTGAAAACCTGCCTACGCAAGTTGTCCTCGTTTCCCTTACCAAACTCTTTTGGGCTACAACTGCCCCCAAAATGTGGCATGCTTGCTTCCCTTGGCATGGGGTGAACAGATGATTGACTTGCCCCTGTGCAAAGCTGGCCTTTCGACTGGGCCCTGTTGAACTTCATCCTTGCCTGTTCTTCTAACTCATCGGAGTCCTCTTGGATCTTGATTAGAGATGGAGAAGGTCTGGGTGGGGGGAAAGCAGTGGTTTTTTTAAAAAAAATAACTATTTTTTTCCAAACGGCTTTGGGGGGGGAAAAAAACATTTTCCTAGGTTTTTTTCCAGGCCTTCCCAACTCGATAATCTTGGTACTGCCTTCTAAAGCAGGGGTGAGGAACTATTAACAACTTTATACCCTGTGGACTTCCACTCCCAGAATTCTCCAGCTAGCATGCTTTAATACTCCAACTCCCAGAATTACCCAGCCAGCATGCTTTAATATGAGTGGACTCCAACTCCCAGAATTCCCAGCCAGCATGCTTTAAGATGGATGGACTTCTACTCTCAGAAGCCCCAATTAGTCTGCTTTAAAACGGACTTCAATTCCCAGAATTCCCCATCCAGCACAGGATCTGATGTCCACCCATCTTAAAACACTCTGCCTGGGGAATTCTGGGAGTTGAACCCTAGATGTCTTAAAATTGCCAAATATGAAAACTGCCGAGGAAAATAAATTAGGAAGGAGTCCAATAACCCCATTTCTGACTAATAAAATTCGCTGACAACTTCTGAAAGCGCCAGGATTTAAATTCCATAGTTTGTCATTTTGACAGTTCACAAAAGCCTGGATCGACTTTCCTTAGATGCCACCGGAGTCCCGATTAATGAATTTTGCAAGTCGGTACAATATAAATGTTTTAAGAGGAGATTGGAATGTGTGTTTAAAATCTCGATCTTGCTTTTCAAAATGATTACTGGGAGGATCCGCAAAGCAGATCTTGACTTCAGATTGAGAGAAATAATCCTGTTTAACAACTGCCTAAATTTTTATTAATCGCATTTAAACAACGCAGTCCTTCCTCTCAGAAGAACGCCGGGTGGCATACGAATGAAATATTAAAATATAAAAACGGTATATAAAAGTCTAAAATGAGACAAAAGATGCTAACAATTCAAAATTAAAAGTTAATTAAAAGTTTCCCACGCCCTTCCATAATCTCGGCCTTGACACGAATACTGCGAGCTTGCTATTCCCTGTTTATCTTCGGTTTTCCGCTTCTCTCCTATGGTTCTTCCATGCTCCAAAATTTGAGACAACCCAACCCTTAAGGCAGCAATGGATCTTCTCCGTTCTATACCGTAAAATGGCCAGGATCCTAGACAACACCATGCAAAATCCTTTTCAATCATGGCGGCAACTTTTCCAGCCCTGAAGGACAGATTTCACCCATACACTATTTTTTTTTCCTGCTTCCAGTCCTTTTGAACAGGATGAACTGATTATGGGATAAGTAAGAGGGAAAAGATCCAGAGATCCTGCTGAAATTAAGGTTGCGGGGAGGTGTCCCGGTGGCAATGGGAAAATTTGTTCCTCATCATTTAGATCAGAGTTTCTCACTCTTGGCAACTTTAAGGAGTAGGGATTATCAATTCCCAGAATCCCCCAGCCAGCCTGTTCTAAGAGGGGAAGACTTCCACTCCCAGAATCCCCCAGCCAGGATGCTTTAAGAGGGCAGGACTTCCACTCCCAGAATCCCC